GCAATTGCGTACCGCAGCAAGCGATTACAGTACACCCACGCCTAGTTCTACTGGCGTTGACATTTGTAACTGATGATCACAGGCGGGGCTCGTGATGAAAGGAAATGAGAAGACTAATCAATTTTAACTACACACAGCTCCGAATATTTTACTGAGAGTTGACTCATGCATTACTCTCGTATAACTTCGTGACACAGTTACACAGAAAGATGTTTTACATATCGGAACATCAGTTATACGTCTGGAAACCACTCCAATTTCTCATGTCATTTACTTCTTAACATGCAAAATAGGGTGATGTGCTAGCGTATTTATAATGTCCCGCACAAGAACAATCATTGATGCCATCATGCATTATACCAGTGCAGTGAGGGACTCGAGGGGACGAAGTTTACTTGGCACGACCTGCATTAGGGAACGAGCGTTCCTAATTCGAGTGAGATAGCTTCATGAGAACTCGCCTTACGCGATCCGCTTGCCTCTCCCGAAAGCCACGGCCACCTTGTTTCTCGAGTTGTTAGTTGATTTATTAGCACTTGTAGATATTTCCATAGACCTAGAAATCTGATACGGAGGTATCCTTGTGAGGATGACTTGTGCTGAAAGTGAGAGCGCATACTTGTAGATGATAGGCCATGGGATATGTTCATTCTTTCTGTAAGAGATGCCGTAAAATGTAATTCAGTTCCATTGGAGATAATCCGCTTACAGGAGCGTTTGCGTTACTGTTGCGAATCAATTTCTTGAGGCGCTAGTGTACTCAAAAGGGGCATGCCCACGCTGACTGAGCCTTGGAGAAGAGGGTGAACTTTGAGGGTAATGAAAATTGCTCACACTTCCCCCTAGACTCAAGCCCTAGTACTAGGGGGACCAGCAGGGGGTGGGGAGGAGCACGATGGCTTGGCGCTTTTATTCGCCAAACAGCTTCTGCGTTGGAAGATAATAGCAGTTCTTTACGTAAGCTCTGAGCAAAAGCTTAACTATTGCGCTATCAATGGGAAAAGTGTTCTTCACGATTCCAATCATTTTGCATAAATGTTATGTTCAGTGTTCGCTTCCACTTTTGCTGGATAGGAGATAGGAATTTTTTGATCTGATGTCCACTACCACAAATATTCACTGCTGACATCTCGAAGATATATGCAAAAAACTGCTAGACTAGATATAAGTCATCTAGTCTTATTATTTCCTCTCATCACAAGTTCTACCCGTAGTTATTCAATCGAAAACAGGGTGCCAACGATAGCGGAACTAGCCGTGAGAGTACTGTAATCGCCTGCTGTACGCAATCGCACGGGCGCAGGGTGGGATAAATACGTAACATCGTAGCCACATGCCGACTGTCAGACTTTGCGATTGGAGCGATTTTGCACCAATTGCAGGAGCGACGGATCGCTTGAGCGATGCGAGCGACGGGAGATTTACCCCGCCGAATACCGATACACACGGCGCCGCTCGGAGTAAATCTCCCGTCGCTCGCATCGCTCAATGGCCGATGTCAGACTTTGCGATTGGAGCGATTTTGCACCAATTGCAGGAGCGACGGATCGCTTGAGCGATGCGAGCGACGGGAGATTTACGAACTGATGGCGCCGAATTATCGGTGGTCGGCGGTGTAAATCTCCCGTCGCTCGCATCGCTCAAGCGATCCGTCGCTCCTGCAATTGGTGCAAAATCGCTCCAATCGCAAAGTCTGACATCGGCCAATACAGTGTGGCAAAAGTTCGAATGTGTGAGATCACAGTGGTCATCAGCTGCTGATAAGGCGAGAGAGCGCAAACGAGAGCATCGAACTGGAGCGGCTTAGGGGACCGAGTTCAAGTAGTCCGTCGGCCTGCGTCAGATTCACGCAAACGCTTAGTCGTATCGTTAGGACTGAGCACTAGAGGAGGAGAGGGAAAGAGGATTGCTTGAGAAGTTCTCATTCGCTTTGGAAATCGTCCTTTTCCGTTCCCCGTTCCACTTTTTCCGGACTTCTTAAAGATGGTCCCCTTCCCCTGGTGGCCCATTGCGCCGTCACGAGCATTTACAGTGCACATAAAAACATGATGAATTACATGACACAAGGGAAGACAAAAAACCTATTCTTTTTAACTCTCAAGGGAAGAGGAAGTTTGTCGGTACAGTTCTTCAAATAGCCCGCCGAAAAAATTTAGTATAATGGCATCGAATTATATAAAACTTCCAAGGAACTAACACAACAGACCGAAGCATTAGTCTTCCAAAACTTATGGGTAAGAACAATCAACCAAAATACAAACGCGCCACACGGTAGAGTCAGCAATCTGTAATTACACAATTGAGCGATGTACACCGTACGCGACGCGCGAATGAAAATATTTTGAATTACCGGCATGGGCGGTGAGGTTCCTCTTTCATTTGTATGTGGAGATAAAGTGGTGGTGTCGTCATCAAACGTTGGGTCTTTTGTAAATGCAGTATGTTTCCACATTTTTCGTGAGAGCTTTCTATCTTCAAACTTAGGTTTTCGTGTCTAATTTCCATCTGGTTAGGGTCTATTCCAGTTAGGGGGCTTTCGGCGAACTAGTGTGAACTTGAACATTCCAGCTTTTCACGCATGTCAAGTGACTGCCCTCACCCCCACCCCCTAGACTGGCTACACTCCCCCTGGCTCGGAGTTGCCTTAGCTTTCTGGAAAAACTGCATCATGATGGCCTCTAACTGGAATAAACCCTGGTTTTATGTATCGACACAGCCTCCCTTTGTAGGGCAATCACTTTTCTCCGCTTGTCGCTCTTTTTTCCTTTTTTGACTCGATGTCGTTGGAGTCATCGTTTCCCTTCTGTTTTGGATCCTCCAAAACTAGCTTTTGACGTCACTGGGAAGGTTCTGGTTAAGCAGCGTTGTACGAGTGGCGAATCTGGCTATCTCAGTAACTCTCTATTGAAGCTTCTATTCAGAGTAACGACATGGTTCACGTGACCACTTGGTAAATAAGTATTACCTTGAGTAAAAGTAAGTATATAGTAAAAGTAAGCTCTTTTAGGTTTCCTTGGAGGCTCAGTGGGAATGATGCAAGGTTCTGTTCCAGTTAAGAGGTACCATAACGTAGTTTTTCCAGGAGCAGTTCGCCGAGGAGCTGCATCATGATGCCCCCTACCTGGAATAGACCCTGATTACATACTGAGGTGTGGTGGAAGGTTCTCCAAGCTTAACTGCGTCAGGTGTGCAAACTCGCGTCCGCATATGTAAGGCAGCAGCGACTTCAAGCGACTGAGGCCATCTGTGTACCGCTGTCTTTCACGAGATATCTGTGCTGCGTTCAATAAATTCATCATAATTCAATCGAAGTACGCAACTCTTTTTGGGGAAGGTTTCAAAAAGTTCAAAAATTTGCTCGTGCAGTGTTTGGAGCTCCAGAGCTTTTCGCGAAAGCAGTCCTTTGCCTGCAGTTTACCTGTCCTCACAAATTCATGAAAATCCGCTTCGCAATTGTCTGGGAAGGCCTTGGCATCATGCTTACATGGTCTTGCGTAGCGTTTTCATGTAGGCTACCCTTTCTTGAGTTGATGGAACAGTGAAGTATAACTTGGAAGCTGACCCTTGGTCGTTGTCTTTGTTTGATCGGTTTCCTTATGGAGTAACGCGGCATACCTTTTACGGTGAAACTCCAGTTCGGGGGGGCCACTCCATTGTTTCTCCAATACTCGAGATAAGGATGACAGCGCTCATGATACGTAACCAACTCATTCAGAGTATACTTTTGATAAGTAACGGTGTAATGGGAAAAAAGCCGTGAGATGCTTTAACCTTTCCGCCTGCCATGGTCCAAGGGAACGGTCCTGGACCGGAGAATGGATACCTCTTTCTAGGGCCAAGGGTGGAGGAGCTCCAGGGTGGATGACCTGGTGCAGAAAATTGTATAGGAGGTGGGCAGAATGTGTGATGGACAACATTTACCGGTCCTTATCGAAAGTACGCTCGAAATTAATCGTTTACTTGATATCTTATCCATGGTGTTGGATAGCCCAAAGTACCACTCGTTAGTACTACGGATAAGATAGCACTGGAGTGGCCCCCCCGAACTGGAGTTTCACCGCCTTCTTCCAAAGACTTCCTATGTTGCTGCGTCATTTGTGAGCTGTTGGGGCTCTTCCTAAGGGAGCCCAAAAAAGACACTTCGCCATGCGCCAATCAATCAAGACTTTCTCGCATAGAGTGCCGCTGTTGGTGAAAGTTGGCCGGTAAGATATCTCTGAGATGTTCTGCCATAATTATAAGCAGACTCTCTTCCAATACCGCACCTTCCTCGGAATGTGACGTCATCTTCCATCAACGTTGAGCTCAGAAGGCCCAAAGTAATCGCTTCAGCCTGAGTTTGCTACGGATTTTCTTTAATAGGTTAGCTGGCGATTGCATCTTAGGGACAGTAGCTCTAATTGTGCAAGACCACTTCCGACCAGCTTTCAGATAACGTCGTAAAGGTCCATGATCCGCCGAGGACCAGTTGAGCTCGAACCGTGCACAAGGTTCCCATGGCAAATTCTTGTGATGTCCTTGGTGCAGAAAGCTATTATAACGTTTATTGATAGATTGGGATGTGCTCTTCAATACTAAGTTGGGAGCAGTCGGTTTGAGTTTAGCAAAGTGTGATTAATGCTGTCTGAATGTGGAGTGGAAAAACTTTTTTGGCCACCCCTGTAGAGTAGAGGAAGTGAGAGTGGCTGCGTTGCTGGTCTTCGGATTCCCTCGTACTCATCCAGTGGTGAAATCGTGGATTTATCGAAGCTGAATCTAAGCGCTCCAAGGAGTTTACATGGTTGGAGGCAACTGAAGAAAAACCAGCACTAAGGCTTGTAGATTACTCAAATTCGTATTGTAATTAGCTGCCAGTATACGGAAAAGTTCTCATTTTCGGTCATCAATTGAGGATTTGGACGTGCTCCACTGATTTTGTTATTCGCGTCGCCACAATATATTTTATCTCACAAACTGTATATTGTGGGAAATATAATTCTGCGAGCAGGATTTACACAGTGATGCGGCATTTTTTAGAAATGCCTGAAGCTGAGTTCATTCGAGTAACTGCGAGGGTACGCCCATCGGTATCTGGAAGTCAAGAACGCATTGTCAATGTGCTCGACAAGAAAAATCTATGGTCAGGGTTTTACACTTATGAAGCTAATTAGCATTCCATTTTCATGAATCGTTTTAAGCTTCAATCCGCGTAACCCAAGAAACTTCACTTTCGATGCAGTCTTCGACGAGAACGTCACACAGGTACAAAATCAGAGTTTTATGCAATTCACAGTTCGCATGATCCCTAAGCACTATTCTTCGTAGGAACATGTTTTTGAAAAGATGGCGGGCCATATAATAGACGGTTGTGTCAACGGCTTTAACGGCACAATATTCGCTTATGGTGAGTTCCTAGAGATAGTGTTGTGAACTGAAGATACTCTGCCTAATTTCAGGACAGACCGGTTCTGGTAAGACTCACACTATGCTCGGACCTCATCATGTCGATAATTTCCTTTTGAATCCTGAATATCGTGGTTTGATTCCCCGAGCATGCGACGCACTCTTTACTAAGCTATGTACTAAGGCTGCCGAGGTAATTGAAACGTCCACGCCTTTGTAGTACACGTTTCAACGGGACAATTTTTCAGAAAGGTGAAAATTTCAAATACAACGTCACATGCCGGTTTGTGGAGCTGTACAACGAAGAGTTTTATGATTTACTGAGTAATTCGCAGGAAAAGCTCACAATCCGCAGCGACTCGAACGTAAAGTTGAAACAATTATTCCAACCATTGTTTTATTTCGGTCAACAATATCTTTTTTCAAGGTTGTTCAACTACTTGGCGTGTCGGAACATTGCGTTCAATCGAGTGTCGACCTTATGAGAGTAAGTGTTCACAATGGGCATTGCTTTTTTCGTTGTAGGAGATTTTTGTGCGGTTAGCGCTCCTGCGTCATATTTGAGCGACGTTAGCCTTGTCCAGTATGTAATAATGCAGAAAAAAGTTAGAGCATGATAATAACAATTCCTTTATAATAATGAATAAAGTGACAACTATAACAGGAACTGCGCTCACGGTTTCTGAACGTTTTCATGCCGTTTTGGCGAATATTCGTAAATAATAACCGCAGTGTTGAAATGGAATAGTTCATCTTGGGCTAACTACCGATGTTTTGAAGTCAATGACCATTATTGTGTTATATGTATAATCGTCACCAGCCGTAAAGATTCTACAGTTTCTCATTTCTACTAACTGTCTTGCACAGTAGCTGTATCTCCGTAAGAGGAACAGCCAAACTCGATCCTTTCAGCCTATCCTTGCGTTGTTTCCCTTGAATTAGGTTTTTAGATATTGGAAGTTGGATGGGACGCAAGAAGAACAGCGGAGACAGCCATGAACCGGGAGTCTTCCAGATCACATGCAATATTCATCGTCGATGTGAGATTTTCTGTCTAAGCGTATCTTAGCATTGAAATTGCGTGATTGGTCCGTAGAAGAGTTTTCAGGTGAGAACTGAGGAATTGGTCAATACCATTGTGAACAAAAAGTGTGCTACTTTGAACCTAGTGGATCTGGCAGGATCAGAAAGACAGACACAGGCAAAAACTGTAGGAGAACGGTTCAAGGAAGCAATTAATATTAATTTGGTATGTGCCAGTTTCTTTTTGTTTTCTACTAACAAATGCAATAATTTTGATCCATAATACTATTTTCAGTCACTTAGCGTGTTGGGCCGCGTAATCCGAACGCTATCTGCGTCCAAACGCCGGGACGAGTTTGTTCCATACCGCGAATCTAAATTAACACACATACTTCGGGATTCACTTGGAGGTAACAGTAGAACAGCAGTGATTGTCAACCTTCATCCTGATGTTGGGTGAGTCAATTGCGGTTCTAATTCAGTGTAACTCGATAAAAACTTTTCATACATCTTACAAGTGTAATCAGTACGGCTGCACTACGGAGTCTTTGTTCAGTTAGGAGTTGGTGCAACACTTCACATTCCTCATAACGAGTGTCGTGGGGAGAAAACGCCGAGTTTGTTTTCGAAACTCGAACTTGGACGCTTCTTTAAATGTTCCCTAGCAAACAGGAAAGAAGGCGTGGCCCACTGTCCTCATAGTGATCAAAATGTAAACTCATTCAGCTTCGTCGACGAGCTCGAGGAGGCGTGCAGGCAGTGCTTGCATCCGCGCGGCGCAGCGTTGTTTCCTCGATCAAGTCACTCGCAGACAGCTTTCTGAAAACAGTCGTATGGTTATACTAGACCGCTGCCAACCTGCTGTAACAATGCTATGATTCACGCTTTGATTCGCATGATCCGATCCTCAAGGTCAACATGATCGTCAAGCTTCTGGCACTACGGTAGAACGTTTCTCAAGCATCAGTGATACAGGTTGTAGGCAAAGTGAGCGCGCACAATCTCTTTAACCTGTCACTAGCTTCACGAAAAACTCAATGCTACCGCCAGTTGCGCTCCATAAAAAGGGAGTTTGCCCCCTCCCATTTTTCTCGTAAATCTTGCAAGCCATGATTACCCAGAAACGTGAAAATTATATTGTTTGACGTCACTGTTTCTTTTCGCACTTTACTCTTTCACTTCAAATGTTTTATGTAATTTCAGGTACTACTCTGACACGCTGTCAACACTACAGTTTGCAGCTGCTTGTCGAAAAATCGAAAATCGCGTTCATGCGAATGAAGACCTATCGGGAGACACCGTCATGGCCTACAAAAGCGAAATTTCTCGATTACGTGCGGAGCTTGACCAAAAAGAGGAGAAAGTCCGTTCAGGTGATTCATTCAATGCGCTTGGTAATGCTTAAGTCGGCCTTTTCTGTTTCTAACACTGTTTTCATTCGGAATTTATTCTCAAATTTACTATTTAATTGAGTACTTTAGAAATGAATCTGAAGATAGCATCGCTCGAAGAAGAGTTGAGGCTTTGGAAGGATACCGCGATTGCCCGCGAGAAGCAGCTCGTAGATGCTCGACTGCAACGGGATCTATTTGCTGCACAGCTCACGAGTAAGCCATCTGGAGAAGGAGACACGAAGGTGCGTTCTGTTTAAGGAACTGATGACTGTATAAAAGATCTGTTTGCAGTCCCATGAAGAAATGGTGCGTGATATCATGTCACAGTTTGCGGCAAGAATTGATTCGATTGGGTCCTTCGAAGAACTTTCAAGAGTACAACTTGAAAACGATCTATCTAGTGTATGTTTTAGTGTAGTTCTAGTACCTAATTACTCTGGGTTATCAACTATATCAAGCCAATAACAAACTCCAGGTCCAACGCGAGCTGGAACAGATGCGGCTGCGGTTCGAGTGTGCTGATGCTGCTAGGAAAGCTCTCAATGAAAAGTACAATAGTGTTCTGGAAGGGTACGATGAGAATTTAGCTGCATCTCCGCTCCGAAGCCTCAATTTGAACACGGTTTGTTTCATTGCTGACCGTATCAGCATGAGTGTCTATTTTCTGAGGAAGGCTAGCATTACAAATCTGGCTAAATCATCTTAGGACCGCCGTCACACTTGGCGACGGACAAGGATGGAGCGACACGACGCTAAATCGCTTGTCCGTCGCCGAGTGTGACGGCGGTCTAATTGCAGATTATGCAATTGTGCTTGACCCTTTTTCTGAAGAATTTTATACCGCGGTTTTGTAGAGCTAAAATTCCACGGGGATGTTGTTGTTCCAAATGCGGACGGTGTTACTTACAATACAGCCTTTAAATACAACTTTACCATTAACTCACTGTGGTAAGTATACCATGAAAAGCTGAATTAGGGCATAGCGATGCCCCTGTAATTAATTTGAAGCGCTTCGCCCGGCGGCCGAGAGGTGCGAGTTCGAGTCTCGCCTGGAGCGAAGTTTTGCCCCAGCATTCTTGTGGAACTTCATATTAGCATTGGTAGAGCATTTTATCAAAAAGACTTGCTGACCCATTCCAGCAAGTTTTTGACAGAAATCTCAATGGAAATTTTGTCTTTCTGCGAGTTTGTACAACTTTCGAATTGAACGAATTTCTTCAGAGTAGGAAAACTGATGTTGCTTGCAAAACTCCTGCTCAACTAAAAAAGGAACGACGAATGACAATGTTTACACCACCAAGAAATCAGTCCTGCAGAAAATCACGAGCGTTCAAGCCAGTTCTTTTCGACGACAACGAAGAAGGTGATGCTATGGAAGGGGTATGTGTATTTTCACGCTGAATTGCTCATGAATGATTTTTTTTCGGTATATTACTGAGTTGTTCGGAAAGTTTCCGCCGCTTGCGTCTCTAACATTTAGAAGCGCAAACGGTTCGAACAGAGCAATTTTGGCCTAAATAGAAAGTGCTGAAATTCCTATACTTCTGCCCACAGGGAGGGGTTTCAATAGGTCTGAATATTAGGTGTGCTGGAGTAGTGCAAGCAAAAGACTCTGCGAAGATCGCTCACCATTGTGTTGGTTTGCAAGACTTGATACCCTGAAAGAGACTATCCAGATGCTTGGAAAGCAACAGTTGGTAGGCAATAAATTTGCGGTATAAAATGATCGCAGCACAATCTCGCATCTCACCTAGTTCAACTTGTGCACGGTCAGAAGTGCGAATGGGGCGGCACAATAGTAAGGAGAAGAGTCGGCGCACCCATTTGTCGAATTCTTTGCACGTTACTCCTCCCCGTGTATGTATATGGGGGCCATGGCGCTTACAACCGATTCCGAAGCTGCTCGTTCAATAGTTCCATGTCGATTTGGTTTGATCGAATGCATAAGTTATTCTTTCTCAATCTCCGATATCCGACCACCACCCTATACTTTTCGGTGTTTTCATCATCGAGAAGGGCATTCTGAATCACGTCTGCACAGCGTATTTTTGTGGATTCAGGAAATGCTCATTTGATATTACGACTTGTTTCCACTCTTTTTTGGCCAAATTTGAGAGCTAACATGAAACTCATTCGAAGCAGCCTGTCAAGCATGTTCTATTTAAGACTAAGAAAAAGGAACAGTGGCTCATTGCGAAAAGATCAGCATGATTAGATAGAGCAGGAAACGCGCTTTTCAATGTATGGAAGCTTTAGCAATTTCTCAAAAACACTTCAGAACTAAAGCATTCGAGATTGAGCTACTAGAAACGTTGGAAGCTTTCTCAACAACCATTTGTATGTAGAACTTCTAATACAGTTGTTAGAATGCTACGATATATTGCGTTTTACAGAATATCGAACAAGACACAGACATGGTGCAAGAACGTGAGCTGCTTCGTTTGGAGATGGATAACAACAGGCTGTCACAACTTGTCAATGAAAAAGAAGCCAAGATGAATGAGATTTATGAAGCTCAGAAAGTCCAAGCAAAACAGTGGATAGAGGAACGGGAACAATTTCTTGAAATGTTCGTTTCACATGAACATTAACTTCCTTCTCTGCGAGGAATTTCCTATTAACCCTCTAATTTTTGTAGTGAGTCTTCGCTGAAATCCCAAATAGAACGTCTCGAATCAGAAAAGTCGCAACTGACTGAAGACTTGGAGCAGGAGCAGCAAAGGACTAATCTGCTTAGCGCAAATATTTTTGCCTTCAACGATGAAGTTAGTGATGCCTCATTTACCTCTGAAACATTCAATTCTTTGACCTTACACTTTTTAAGAGATCTCGCCTGCAGCAACATATCGAAGAATTACGAGCAGAGAAATTTGACCTCGAAGATCGATTGCAAGGTTTGCATTAATTTCTAATTGCTAGAGGCGTTTTCATGGCACTGCTGATTTGTCTTTTTTTTAGAACTTCAAAATGAGGTAGAGCAAACGTCAGTCAAGCTGGGAAGGATGAATGAATTGGTATCCTTCTCTATGAATCTTGATTTTCGCTCTTTTCTTACACTTTCGGGTAGACGTTCACCCTGGTGAGATTGTGCTTTAGGAGTCCTCAATAGGTGATCTGGAGGCCCGGCTTAGTGAAGAACATAATAAGTACAATTCTCTGAAGGTCAGTTATCAATGGTTACGTATTTGTTAGCCAATATCATAATTTGAAATGCTGTCCATACTTCTGTTCACGTAATCTGTTAGTAGTTCTTTTAAGCAACTTCTTGAGACGAAAACAGATGAGGCGAGTCAAATAGGTGCATCACTCCAACAAAATCTTCAGGATTATAGAGCCCTTGTTTTGGAGAACGATGAATTGAAGGTAACTGTTCAAACAAAAAAAAATAGGTGTTTGAAGTCAAGTCTGTGATCATTTGCTATTCAGCAAACTATTTTCTTTTCAATTTTGCCTTGTAAGAGATTTCAGGTTGGTCTTGAGCAGGTGAAGGAAATGCGTTCCAGAATGGAGCAGGAGTACATTCAAAAGATAAACCAAATGAAATATCAGTGAGCAATTACTGACTGTAATTTCTCGAAAGTCTTCTTGGAAGATGCAAAAATCTGTGTTCAGGTCAGCCGTTGATCTCAAAAACGCAGAAAAAATGGTCGAGCAGGAGCGCAATGCACATGAGAAGACGAAGGTGAATTCCGGAACGTGATCTCCTTTTTACTGCGATAAAGGCGACTCTAGCAGTAGGGTTTGGGGGGGGGAGCAAAAAACCACATCTCCCAAATATGCATGTGGAACTAACCATAGGGCTTATATATTGAAGCCACGATAGACAAAAACTAGAATATTTTATGATTCACGCAACTCATTTCTTTACAGGAGCTTCTTCAATTGAAAACCGGCGAGGCTGATCAGGCGTCTGCGTCTCTCCATCGAACGCTCGAAGATTTAAGGGAAGTTGTTCAACAGCGAGATGAGATGCAGGTGATTAGATTATATGCTCTTCTTGAACTACTGCTTTCAGAATAATTTTGAGTTAGTTGCAGTGCTGCCTCATAAATGTTTCTGTAATGTTAGAACTATTGGAATTTGTTTTAGAGAAGTCTCGAGCAGCTACAAGAAAGAAATATGAAAGTGAAACGTGAGCTGTCGGAGGAGATAGATAAACTGAAAAAACGGTAATTAATGGAGAGCTCTCATTCCCGGTCTTTTTTTATATTTTGCTTGATATGGCCACTTTTCAGCCATGCTGATGAGCTGCAAACCGCAGAAAACATGGTAGAACGAGAACGGGAGGCACACGAGAGGACTCTGGTGTGTTCACAGAATTCATTCATTCATTTAATAAATGACGAATGTTTTCCCAAAATGTTTTGGTCACAGAGCTGAAAAGTGGTTGAGTGAAAGGAAAGGGTCGTGGGGGAACGAAAATCGGGTTTTTATGTATGTCGTATGGTGATACATTATTACGCAATTTGGCGCGCAGCTTGTGAGCCCGAGGTCATATTTTGCGAACGCCTTGCAATTAAAGTGTGATGTGAGTACGTAACGACGAAGCTTCGCAGTGGAGGCATGGTAGGTCGAAATGGCCGTTCAAAATGAGGTGTGTACCACTTGAAGGGCGTTCGAATACTGATTTCAAGTCCATTTCACATCTGCTGAAGGTCGCTCCAAACAAAATTGCAGAAGTTTTTTTCCACATGTTGTCAGATGGCTGTCGGTTGAACAGACGGAGTTCCAAGACCAACGTGAAGGGATCAGGCCCACACATTTTTCTTAGCATTTTTCTCAAATCGTAAATGGAAGGTAGATTGTCAAACCCTTGCGTCATTGCTCAAGTGTGGTTTGGTTTTTTTAATAAAATTCCTTGAACTTTTTCTGATTTGGCATTGCGACCTCAGCGTTTTTACGGTCCAGGTGAAGTTGGAAGAGTTAGGAGATTCATCTTTCGTTGGGTCGAATTACCTTTGCCGATAAGTTTTTTTTAGTCAAGGTAGAGTTTTGGCCCCTTACATTCAAAAAAGTGGGTGGTAGAGTAGCCCGTGGGTCGTAATACCCCTGCAGGAGACTGTTCTTGTTGGACCTATCTACAAATTGCAAATGAAGGCTAACTAATCATGATCACGAATCCATATTTTAGTATTGATGCCACAACCTCCTCCATCGAATTCATCATAAACTGGCTGATGCGAGGTAAGTCCAGTCATCCGGTACTGAATTCATTACATTTTTGATAAGCGCAGTTTTTCGTGTCGAAGTGTAATTAATGGGAGTACCTCATGTGTGAATTGTTTACGGTGTGTGAGTTAGTGACGAATGTCACGACAAGAGGATTTGCGCTTCTATTCGCCAAGCTGCACCTTTTGGTCTTTGTAGAGGCGGCTCGATGTGATCTAGCTCGACTGAAATCTGTCCCCCCCAAGTTGAGTTTTGGGAATATGACGATTATTTTGTCGTTTTGAAGCGGAGATGGCTGCTATGTGCCCCCGTTTACGAGCGGAAGTTTTTGAGTTGGTTCTGGTCACCACCTTCCAAACGTTTTCAAAGATATATAATAATATTAACGATTAGTCCCCCGTCAACCGCCGGGACCTTCCTTTCCTGCGCAAGCTTTCTATCCTCCGCTATGGTCCCTTCCTCCTGTGACACCAACACCTCGTGGAAGTGACGCGTATGCAACACAATGGTGTTTCAAACAGTAGAAGGGACACAATCATGATATGACGGTAGATTTTTCGCTTCCCTTCCTCTTCCTCTCTCTCCTGCCCTCCAGCTGCCACTGCAGCACCATGTGGAATGAACGGAAGTGTGCTAAGCAGGTGTTTATATAGCCCTAAGAGTGTTATCACAACTATCCTGCTACAAAACATTGATCTCTCAAATCCTGTAAGCTACCCGATTTGTTAGCGGTTTGTTTATCCCATGAGCTTCCTTCTCACTCACTTCATTTTGCGGACGGACATACATACACACACACACATACAGATACACAAACCGACACACAAAGTTAGCGCTTTATAAAATAGAAGGATTGTCCCCCGTTCAACGCGGGGCCTTCCTTTTAATGCGATGTTTCTATCCCTGCCGTAATGGGTCTTCCTTCTGTGACCGCACTCTGGAGGCTGAAGGTGATGCACCACATGGGCTTCTGACGTAGAGGGGACAACATATGAATATGACGGGTGATTTTTCGCTTGGACCCCTCTGTCATCCTCCGCTTCTCTTCACTGCTCCGTTTGCCATGCGAGCCATGTGGATATCGGATGTGTGCATGGTGTTTATATTGCTAGAGTGTTATCACAACTATCCTGCTACAAAACATTGATATCTCAAATCCTGTAAGCTACCCGATTCTGTATAGCGGTTTGTTTATCCCATGAGCTTCCTTCTCACTCACTTCATTTTGCGGACGGACACACACATACATACACACACAACGCACACACAAATACAGATACACAAACCGACCACAGTATTTTAAGATGTGTAAATACGATATCAATGATAACTAGATTCGTTTCCAGACAACCAGTATAATTCCATTCGCAGAGTTTTAGCAAAATTATTGGATTACCTTTATGAATATGTCGAAGAAACGAGCGGCTAGAACTGTCTAACTGGGTTGTCTAACGCTATTTCTTAGTAGTTACTTCGAAGATATGATGTTTTGTTTCCTTTGTAAGTAGGAGAATAACCGCTAGGTGGCGACCCACATTCAGACAGCGTAACCGTTCCGTATTCGTGCTGAGCTCGAATCTTCTCCATACCGCGAAATCTCTGTGGCTTTGTTCGAGGAATAGTTCAGCAGATGTGGAACATCACCTCATTTCAAACACTACCTCAACCTATCATCCTTCCATTTCAAATGTTATAATTGGTCGCTCATTACCTTCACTCATCCCACGGTCTAACCTAATATTTTCTTCGCAGTTTTCAACGTGACCCGAACAGCTTGTGCGGAGGTAAAGATTGGTCTCATTTCTCTACCGCGTAAGAATATTGTGAACTCATTATAAATGCAGCTCATTGTCAGCGTAGACGACGCAGCGTGGTGGTACGCTTTTGAGTCAAATCCTTTTTAATGGGAGCATCGTCCGCAATTACTCGAAAAAATCACAGAAGAGGTAGAAAGGTGAGCAGGGCAGGAGCAAGCAGAGCGCTGGGAAGCCATTGACACGTTCGTGCGAGCGAGCAGATTTCTCACTTTAGTGTATTAAGCTCCCCACAAGACTATCAAAACCACCGACAGCCATGTATACGTCCCTGATCAAGGGGAGGGGCCACCCTCTGCCGGAAAGATCGACCAAGCGGGTGAAGTTGGACTATTGTATCTCTTTGCTTCCCATTGGAATCACAAAGCGCGCATTATAGACGACTAATCCCCACTGTAATCTCATTGAATGTCTATTATCTTGACTAGCTCATTATCAATTTTTTCTATCACATTGTCTTGTAGTAGTTTCCTTTGTGAATCTATTATGTTTTTTAGCAGCAATTTTCAACATATCGAAATGATCTCCAGGTGAACCTAGAAAAGCAATTAGCCGAGTTTCAAGAGTGGGTTTTTTTTATTATACTTTGCATATTTCCGAATTCCTGCCTGTGTGGGCGACTGCTCTCTGACTGTTATGCCATTATTTTTATTGTAGGTCGTTCACAAACAAGGAAGAACAGCTTACCTTTGATGTATCGTGTAAAGAACAACAAATCACGCAACTTCAAGGAGAGAAGGAGTTGTATGTTCTCGTAGAACACAGTTGTAGCTATCTGTATTTGGAGCTGTACGTCATAATTGCAGGTTGCTAGAGAAGTGCAGTCGTCTCAGTGAGTCCGAAAAACTTCTTGAGAGCTGTAAGAAGCAGTTAGAAAAGACTAATAAGGTGATTAATTCTTCAAGTTCGCTTCCATAATTTTAGGCGCCATTATTAAACCGTTTTGATACAGAATACATAGGTTTCCAAAAAAGAGACACTTTGCTCATGGCGCACATCATCAAACTTTTCATCGCACAGGAGTGCCGCTGTTGATGAAAGTTTTACGGCAAAATATCCCTTAGATGTCCCATAAGTAGAAGCAGGCCCTCTTCCACTGCCCTCACCGTCCTCAAAATATGACGTCATCTTCCATCACCGTTGAGCTCAAGAAGGCCTACCGTAATCGTTCCAGCCTGAAGCTGCTACGAAATTTCTTCAATCGGTTAACTGATGGATTGCTTCTAGGGACAGTAGCTCTGAATATGCAAGACCCCTTCCGACCAGCGTTTCAGATAACGTCGTAAAGGTCCATGATCCGCCGAGGACCAGTTGAGCTCGAACCGTGCACAAGGTTCCCATGGCAAATTCTTGTGATGTCCTTGGTGCAGAAAGCTATTATAACGTTTATTGATAGATTGGGATGTGCTCTTCAATACTAAGTTGGGAGCAGTCGGTTTGATTTAGCAAAGTGTGATTAATGCTGTCTGAAATGTGGAGTAAAGTGTGTCTTTTTTGACCATCCCTGCATACTAATGCCGCAAGATAGCGGTTGAAGCGACACGTTTTATCACTTTCTTGTGATACACTTTATATATTGGAAGCACTATTTCATTTTTAAGGAATTGGAAGTACTGCGTTCCGCCAAAGCCGAAGGTGACCGCGCCATTACAGAACTTGCTGGGCATCACAATCAAAAGCAAAAGGTATACCATCAGCTAAATATTACAGTAGTACAGTGAATTGCGCATATAATCTAGGGAGGGGTAGTTCGTTATGAGTTATGTGTGTATTTGTTGCCAGACTACAGGGGTGGCCAAAAAAAGAGACACTTTGCCCATGGCGCACATCATCGAACTTTTCGTCGCACAGGGTGCCGATGTTAATGAAAGTTTTACGGCGGAATATTCCTTAGGTGTTCCCCGTAAGCAGAAGCAGGCCCTCCTTCACTGCCCCACCGTCTTCAGAATATGACGTCATCTGCCGTCACCGTCGAGCTCAACGAGGCTTACCGTAATCGCTCCGGCCTGAAGCTGCTACATAATTTCTTCAATGGATTAACTGGTGAATAGCTTCTCAGAGACACTAGCTGTGACTGTGCAAGACCGCTTTTGACCAGCGTTTCAGGGACGTCGTAATGGTCTATGGTACCTCGACGACCTCGTTGAGCTCGTACCGTGAACCATGTTTCCGTGGGAAAATCTTCTGATGTCGTCGGTGTAGAAGGCTGTCATGTAACTTTTAGATAGATTAGAATGTGCTCTTTAATACTAAGTTGGGGCAGTCGATTTGATTCTAGCAAAGTGTGATTAATGCTGTCTGAAATGTGGAGTGAAGTGTCTCTTTTTTTGGCCACCCCTGTAGTTTCCGAAATCTCTCCATCTTTACTTCTAGATCAATTACTTGGAGAAAGTGCGAAGTGAAAACTATAGCTTGAAAAATCGCATTGCTGAGCTAGAAGCTGAGCTGAAGCGGTATGAGGCCACATATGGGAAACTTAAACAGCTAGCAAAGGAGCCTCTTCGCGGTCCCTCAACGAGAAGTCGCAGTGCACGCGGATTCCATGATTGATTGTTTTTGTGACATTTACAAGATTGTCTCTTTTACTCCTCGTTGAGGTGATGAGTAATGATTCTACCTGTGATCTCGTGAGTTTCTCCCCGGGTTTGGAATTACATAAATCTGTTCTTGTGTACTCACCTATCTAATGCTACTTTCAAAGTCCTGTACTTGAAATTTTATGCTTGATACTTTTTTACTTAGTTAACTCGGTGCTTTCACCATCGTGAGCTTAATTCTTACTTTCGCACTAACTTTTGCGGTAGAATTTCCTTACGTAACAATACTTGCATGTATGTATTATAAATGTTTTCATTCAATACCTGTAATATATAATCAAAGAGCAAAATTGCTTTATTGTGTTTATGCATAAAGAGTGTTGGAGTGCATAAAATTTTGGGTCGTCTTCTCAAGAAAGATCGAAAAATGGTGCTCACAAATTCCCTCCTTAATATCTGAGGCCGAGTGCAGCAAGGCCCAACTCGGGGTGGATCACCAAAACTCCGCATCTCGACTCAGGTCGATAACGCAACTCATGATCAAGAATAGGGGAAGCGTTCAGAGATGCTGGGTTTTGGGGACCCATCTCCGAGTTGGGGCTTGCTGCATCTGGCCCTTGCTCTACCTGTCCAACTTGATCAAGACTGGCAGTAGTAAAGCAACGGGTAACTGTAAAGGGTGCAACGATAAAACCCTGGGAAACCCTTACGCCATTTTTTCCCATCAGGAGTGATTGAAGGGTAAGGATGAGGTCGAACATTGTACCTCGAATCCTCTTTGCTGATGCTATGAACCTTAAGCGCAATGCAAGCAAAGACTAGATTT